TCTTCTCTACCTTAAGAGCATTAAAATACTTATATTTTATACATTTTAAGGCTCCTTTTTAACATAAACATTAAAGGAACAATAATTTCATTCAAGTGATAAATATAATCACTTGATTTACTAATTCCTAATTCAAGTGATTAGCAACTACCAACTTTCCAGTTAAATTTACTGAGTAATTCATTTTTCCCCTATTTACCTGAAAAGCTACCCTTTCATGGATTAAAATCTTAAAAATACTTAGATCAATTTCTGGGCTTACTGCTCAATAATCTGTTCACCTCTTGCATTAGTACTACACTGCCTTATTTGCTATAGCAATTATTTTTACTGATAGAGTAAATTTTCCTTGAGTAGTCCCTCCAATTTTCATTAATTTTACCTCTCCAGGTGAACTGTAGAACTGTTTTGCCAACTTCTATCCCTTTATTTTCAAAAAAAGTCCATCAAGATTTTGGTTGGACCTATATTCAATTCTTAAGCTAACTGGAAAACCGTCATTTAGTACATATTCTAATTAAGTATGTGCTAAAGTTCAACTCAGTGAAAGAGACGATATTTCATCTGTAGAAACTGATACATATTTCTGTTAACTGTGAATTCAGCTCCCCAATTTTTTTATCAGAACCATTACATATATATTTTTTTCTCCCACTCAGAAAAAAAACAAAGCCCTTTCTGGTTAACAGGATAGTTAACGCAATTGTTTCAGATTCAGAGAGTTAATTTCCTTTGATTCATATGCAAATTATGCTTTATTCTTATTCTTATAAAAATGATCACTGTTCTCATTCTCTAAGAACAATATCCTCATCTCTAATAGTAGATATATGTATCAATCTAAAGAGCTTTCCTAGTTAGGATTTTTTGCTCTTGCATGCATAGATTTTGGGAAGTGATCAAAAAGTCTTACAGACTGATTCATGTCAGCAGCTTCAATTCAAAAATTTATCATTGTGGGTCTCAGTGTTTAACCTTCATGGTATGAGATCTCTTAGAAGATTCAACAAAGAGGGCTTCAGAGGTATTTCAATTGCTCAGACTTATTACCTTGAGGGAAAGGAAAATAAAAAGGAACACATGAAACCGAGTCCAAGGCCATAGAAAACTCAAAGGCAACACATGGCCAAATGACAGAGCCCAGCCTGAGCAGAGGGCAAGCAAGTCTGTCCTCACAACAAGAAATCATGATATGAACCAAGAAAATGCAATTCTGAAAATCAAACTATGGCCTCATATTATTAGAGGGGAAAAAACAGAAATAAATAATCTCTACAAAATGGCTGATTGTTAAATTTCTTTTGGTATATTTCTTATTATTAGCTTGAAAATATTTTAAAATGTTCCAAGAGTAAGCCTTCTTCTAAAAGGGTAAAATTTCAAATAGTATTCAATATTTATCTTCTAAGCTCATCAAAGTGAACAAATAGGAACATTTATCTTTCCATACCTTCAGGGGGTCTCTGCAACTGGGATTTCCGATAAAACAACATGTAGGCACTTTCTTTACCCTGAAATTGCTGTTCAATGGCCTTTTCTTTGATTGGCTGGACTTTGGAATCATTTATATCAAACCAGTGGGGACACGAGGGTCTATCATTTAATCCTGGGGATTTTGAAGTAAGTGTCTTGAAAACTTGTTGATCATTCCTTTGGAAATCAGACTCAGCCTGGAGAGAATAGTCCTTCAATAGACGAACTGTACTTTCATCTGAACTGAGCAGAAATATCTGAGAATGAAGCTTTAAGAACTACACAGAAATAAAGAACAAACACCAGGTTAATAAATTTTTGTTTAAATTAGACATGATTAAAAAAAACTTTATCTTCCTTTCTGTAATTAGATATTTTAACTTCACCTTTATTTTTAGCCTGGCCAGCTAAGAGGAAAAAAAAATCCATTTGGGCCATAATAAAACATTTAATAAAAACCAGAGTGCTGTCTGTAAAACAGCCTAACAGTTACATCAAGGGAGAAAGCTGCCATGACATAATCTTAAAAATATTTAAACTGTATCTCAATAACGCTGCTTTTCAAAAGTCCTGTACTGAAACAGATTAGATAGAACAAACACTTCTGAAATGTTTAAAGCAATCCAAACAAACAAAGCACAAAACAAAGGCAATTACACAGTGAAGCACAACAGAAGGTAATTTCAAACTACTGACTCAGAGAAATTCTGTTGGGATAAAGTCATGATTGTAAGCTTCAATTAACTAAATTAAATGTTGTCTGTCCTGGGAGCTGACAGGCTAGCTCAGGAAATCAAAACATAGAAAGGCTTAAGTCATAATCCCAAAGACTAGTTCTCAAGTTCTCCTGGCTAAAGGATTAGGAAGAAGAAAACTTTTCTCCGCATTGCCTCTCCCACCCTTCTACCCTCGGCCCTATTCTCCTCTTATTCTCCCAGCTCGAGGTGGCCTCGCATCTCCTCCTTTTCTCTCAGCACAAACTACTTTATACAGAACATCACTTTGGAGGTATATGTAACATTCATTAGCTCACCAATCAATATGGAAAGGTGATTTTCTCATTTTTCTCCTAGAAAGAAAAAAATCTGTAGAAATGCCAACTCTCTAATCGAACAGATGGGTATAGGACACATGACCCAAAGGCAATATTGTGAACACTGACTATAACAGATGGTAATATAGTTTAGTAGCTAATTTGTTTTAAGTACAATAAAATATCAACCATTTGAAACCTGAGTAATGAACTTTCTGTATACTGAATTTTTTCTTTGTTTGACAGTGGAGAATTAACTCTTTTAAGCCTCAAACTTCAGTGTAGTCTAGTCCCAGAAATGGCAGAGAACTCGTCGTACTGGTTAAAAATTATGAACTTCAGGTAAAATAATGAAAACAACTGTTTGGAGAGTAACCAAAAGCAGACCTAAAGTGGAGGGGACATAATCCTTCAAAAAAAGGGAAGCAAGCTAGGTGAGTTTTACATGAATCCACCACTTCCCAGTTTGCAGCAGAGCACGGCAGAACAGAATTCAAGCAAAGGGCAGGAGTCTTACTGGACTGAGGAAACGGAATTTGAGAAAGCCAGAGCAGCCAGGAAAACAGAAAATCCCATAAAGGAGCCCAAATCCGTATCAAATCCTTGGCTGACTCTTGAATGGTACACGGACAGCAAGAAACCAGCAGAAAGCAAGGTGGGAGACTCAAGATCGGAGTAGAGATTTTAGCGCCCTGCTGCTGGGTAGAAACAGCATGGAATTGAAGTCCTGTTAATGAGAAGCATATAACAAACACCTCAGGCTTTGCACTGAAATCCTAGAAGGGCCAGGTCTTAGGTCAGTGGTTGACAAATTCTTCTGTAAAGGGCCAGATAGTAAATATTTTAGGCTTTATGGGATAAGAGGCAAACTTGAGCACATTATGTAAGTATCTATAACTTAAAAAAAAATTGTTGAAAAATGTAAAGACAGTTCTTAGCAGAGGGATGTACAAAAAAAGGCAGCAGCCATAGATTGACCATGTTTGCTAACCTCTGCCTTGAGAGGGAGGACCACACAGGCCCCAGGACTAAGAGCTACTCCCTAGGACTAACAGCAAAACTGCAACAGACCCACCCAACCAGAGCCCAAAAAGCTCTCATAGGATCAAGGTGCCTCAAAATCATTTAAAAGCCTGTTAGAATACAATGCAAAACTCTTTAGAAACAATAACATAATCCACAGTCTCCACAACACATCATCCACAATGTCCAATAGGCAATATAAGAGTATATGATGTGCAAAGAAATAGGACAATGTGAGTGTAACCAAGAGATGAGATAGTCAATTCACAAGAGAAAAAAAAAGTTAATAGAAACAGATCCCGAAATAATCCAGATGTTATAATAGCAAACAGCTATTAAAATATGTTAATTTATAGGAAAGGATGGATAGATTAGGTTCAGATGGGGAATTTCAGCAGAGATTAACTGGCTGGGCTTAACAGGAGACTGGATATAGCAGAGAAAGAATCAATGAACATGAAGATGCATCAATGGAAATTATCCAAATTGAAGAAGAGAAGAAGAAAGAAAGAAAAAAAAGAATCTCCCCCTAGAATATATAAGATCTAGGAGGAAATATTGAATGGTCTAATATATATGAAATTGTAGTTTTTGAAGGAGATGAGAAAGAGAATGGAGTAGAAAAACAAATTGATAACATAATGGCCAAAACTGAGGAAAGACAAACCACAGATTAAAAAACAAAAAAACAACACAAACAAAAAAAAACCTTAGCACATATAAAGCAAATAAACACAAAGAACACCATACTGAGACCCATTATTGTTAAACTGCTACAAACCAAAGATAAAGGAAAGATCTTAGAAGTAGACGGAGAAAACAGACATATTACATTTAAATGACACTGACTTAGCCAAAATAAAAGTCAAAACATAATAGAATAACATCTTGAAAATGATGGGGAAAGAAAAATATTAAAAAGTATCAACTTAGTATTCTGTGTTCAGCAAAAATACCATCAAAAAATGAAAGCAAAATAAAAACTTCAGACAAAAGCTGAGAGTATTTTTGCTAGCAGTTCTAGACTCCCAAGAAATGTTAAAGGAAGTTCACTAGGTTGAAGGGAAATGATGTTAGATGCAAACCTGGGCGTGCAAAAAAGAACAATGAAAACAGAATGGATAAAACACGATTTTTTCATTAATTTCTTTAAAAGTCATTTAAGTGTTTAAAATAAATAGGTACACATCGTGAATTTACATATAATGGTAGAATATAAGACAACAGCACAGAAGGAAGAGTACAGGGAAATGGAATTATACAATTGTATGTATCTTAGCCTGTACATGAACTGGTATACTATTGGTTTATAATTTATAATATTAATTTATGTATAGTGTAATCCATAGAGTAAAAAAGTAAAACGAAGAAATATAGCTAAAAAGTCAACCGAGGAGACAAAAAAATGAAACATTAAAAATTACTTGATTAATCCAAAAGGCAAGAAAGACAGAAAAAAGGAACAAAAAATAGAAGAGGCAAATAAAAAACAAATAGCTAGATGACAAATTCAAACTCAACAGTATCAATTAATATATTAAAAACAAATGGACTTAACATTCTAATTAAAAGGAAAAGACTGTCAAACCCTATCATTTGATAGAAAACAGATGAACTGTAGATAAAAACAACAAATGCAAAGTTGTTTTTTGAAAAATGTAATAATCTTGGTAAAGCCCTAAGGCAAGACTGATGAAAAAGAAAGCTAAAAAGCATATCTTACCAGTATTAGAAATTAAATAGGGTAGATAATTTCAGGTCCTACAGACATTAAAAGCATAATGTGGTAATATTTCAAATACCTTTGTGCTAACAAATTTGACACTTTACAAGAATAAATTACTTAAAAATCACAATTTTCCAAAATAAACAGAACTTCACTCTTTGCAAGAGGCATACTTGCATAAGAAAGCTTGTATGTTACATTAACTCTAGACAAGACAGATTTCAAGGCAAGGACTATTAGCAGAGATAAAGGAGGGGTATTTCATGTTGGGAGGCCATAACAATGCAAAATGTGTATGCACCTAATAATACAGCTGCTAGATACAAGAAGCAAAACAGTCAAGAGTGAAAAAAGGAAAGGACAAATCCACAATTATAGTTAGAGACTTAAAAACTACTCTCTCTTTAATTGATACAAAAAGAGAAAAATTAGTAAGAAAAGAGAAGAAATAAAGGATGCTATTAATCAATTTGACCTAGCTGACACTCATGAAACACAATACCCAACAACTGCAGAAAATTAACTTTTCTGGTGAATAGAAAACATTCAGCAAGATGGACAATACTCTGAGGCATGAAACAAGTCCCAATAAATTCAAAAGAACTGAAATCAAAGAGAGCATGTTTTCAGAGTACAATGGAATTAATTAGACACCAATTTATAGGTATAACAAAAAGATAACTAGGAATTCCCCCAAATACTTGGAAATTAAGCAATGCTCCTCCAAAAACTCACACGTCAAAAAAAAAAAAGAATCAGAAGGAAATTTACATAATATTTTGAATTGCATGACAATGATAACATGTCAAATTTAGCTACAGTTAAATTAGAGCTTAGAAGGAAACTTACAGATGTAAAAGCATGTATTAAAAGGAAGGTTTAAAGAACAACTGAAATGCCAACACAAGAAGCCAGAGAAGGTGACTGAATCAAACCCCAGAGGTAGAGCGAAGGAGACAATTAGAGACAAGAGCGGAAATCAGTGAAGTAGAAAACAGATGAGCAGCACAGAAAGTCAACAGAGGTAAAAGTTTGCTTTTTGAAAAGTTTAATAAACTTGATAAGCCTCAAGCAAGATTTATTAAAAAAAAAAAGAGTAAGCAAACACAAATTACTAAAATCAAGAAAGAAAAAGAGGAGATTCAGGTTCTACAGACACTAAAAAAGATAATATGGGATATTTGAATAACTTCATCCCAATAAATGTGAAACCATAGATAAAAGGACAAACTCTTTAAAAAACAGAATTTTCCAAAATAATGCAAGAAGCTATTATAGAAAATCTAAATAAGTCTACAAAGAAATTAAAACTATAATTTAAAAACCTTATTATAAAAAAATTCCAGGTCTAAATAGCTTCACTAAACATTTAAGAAAGAATAATCTTAGAGAAATTCTTTCCAAGAATATAAAAAAGGAAGTATTTCCCACTGTTTTATGAGTGCTGCATAACCCTGATATTAAAATCTGACAGATATTACAAAAAAAGGGACATTAAAGACCGATATCTCTCACAACAGACACAAAATCCTTAATAAAATATGAACTAAATGAACACAGCAATACATTAAAATATATAATGACTAAGTGTAGTTTATCCTAGAAATGTAAGATTTGCTTTAACATTAGAAAGGTCAGTCAACAGAATTCACATTAATACCACAAAAGAGAAAAGTGATGTGAACATATCAATAAGTGGAAACAATCAGCATTTGATAAAAATCCAATCTCTATTCAAGATAAAACTATCAGTCAACTATGAATAAAAGCTAACTTCTTCTAACTTCTGAAAGGTATTTATATTTAAAAACAAGCGAAACAAAACCCTGCACAACTGGTAACACACTTAAAGGTAAAATATTGTAACATCGATCCAATAATTTTAAATGAAAACCTAAGACTGTCTTATGAACTCAGGGTCATTAAGCTAACTTCATTTATGAACTGTGATCTAATTAAAAGATGAACATGTACTGCCATGTATAAGCTCTTTGCTTCTATGAGAAATAGTTTCAAAATATTTACGAATAATAAAACTGCTTGTTTTCAGTCAATTTTTTATCTCTTATTTCTGGCAGTACCAGTTTTTTTTGCACCTAATCTTACAGCCTAGGAAACCAGATCACCAAGTAGACTAGAATTGTGTTTGTAAAAGAGCCAGTGAAATCTGGATGCACACCTGAAGACATTTCTGTAAGTGGGATGATGAGCTTCAGAATATGAACTTTGTGACATTTTTTTGCTACTGCGATTAAAAGCCCCTCCTCTATCCTTTTTTGCTTATTTCTTGATTCTACAATAAATCACTTAATAACATAATATTTAATAAGTAACTTAACTAAATTCTAACCATTAAGCAAAAATACTGGTTATATTTTCACCTATTTAAAATTTCCTTCTGCAAAGGAATTCGTGTTACCAGGATCACAATAAAATTTCCTGGGAACAAGACTTCCTATAAGGATGTCACGCATTACCTTTCGCAGTGGTCCGTACTGTTTTCTGTACTTCTTGTTCCAAGATATTCCTATCTTTTTCAAGAGTTTCTGGCCCAGCTGATCAACAGGAATTAGACTACTCTCCTCCTTACAAAAAAACCAGAAAGTCACTTAAGAAAATCTGATGAGATATAACTGTAACACTTTTTAATCCAAAGGGACCAACAGGATCATACCTAATTAACATGCCCGTTAATAGCAAACAGGTATGTGGATTAACCACAATTATTTCAAAGAAAAGGTTTTTTAAAATACAGATTAAGCCTAAGTTTAGAAAAGTTGAATTCTGTTACTTTCCATGTGGCAAAGGTTAAACATTTCAAGAGCAATATCCAAAGAGCATTCTGAGATGTGATAAATTCCTGATATTATGTGGAATTTTTAGAAGAAATATTTAAGTGCAAAAAACACTAATGTTTCTTCTATGTTTCTCTTTAATATTTTTAAGTAAAAACAAGTTCTAAAAGAGGGCAAGAAATGACTGTTATGGACTGAAATTTGTCCCCCCACCACGAAAATGCATATGTTAAATCCTGAACCCTCAAAATTTCAAGTGACTATATTTGCATAAGGCCTTTACAAGTGATTAAGTTAAAATCAGGACTTTAATGTGGGCCCTAATCCAATCTGACTGGTGTCCTTATAAGAAGAGGAAATTTGGATACATGGGGACACCATGGAAGCAGGCGCATGGAGGAGAGGTCACATGAAGACCCAGCCACAAGGCAGCCACCTGCAAGCCAAGGAGAGAGGCCTCAGAGGAAACCAAACCTGCCGTCACCCTGATCTGGACTTCTAGCTTCCAGAACAGTGAGAAAATGTGGTATTTTGTTATGCAAGCCCTAGTAGATTAACACAGTGACCCTACAGCAACACTCAGCCTAGGTGCCTAGAAAGGAAGTATAACAAATTGTTTATTAATGAATGAATAAATGAAAAGAGACCATCACCTTTACATCGAGATACTAAGCAAACATTAAAAGTCATATATTTGAGGTATTAACAATACTGGGAATGAAAAAGGGGACATAACTTCAGATCCTACAGACATTAAAAAAATAATATGGGAAAACAGTAAATTCCAAAACAATATGTAAAGTAAATCCCAATTCTGTTTAAAATGAACTAATAATGCCCCCCAAAGCTGTAACCTAATCCCAATATATGCATATAAACATACAAAAACCATGCAAAGAATATATACCAATGTTAACAATGACCATGCATTTGGTTTATTTAAATTTACTTTCTTTATATATTTTCTAGTTTTTTCCCCTCAAAATTTCTACCATGAGTATGCATTTCTTTTATAATCAGAAAGTCTGCAGTCAAGAAAAAACAAGCACAGATAATGTCCCACAGGAAAAAAATGAATAGTAACAATATCACTTCTACCGATTAAATCATAATCTGATACATACACACACAAATATAAACATACACTCTCTCTTTACCTGTAGTAAGATTGCTTTTAGAATCATCAATGGATCATCAATTGCTTCCTCTTTCTGATCTTTCAAATTCACATCTAGGTTACTTTTTTCCTCCTAGGAAGGAAAACAATAAA